CCCCCCCCCCCCGCCGACGATTACTTTCGCGGCAGATCACGCTCGCTCTCAACCGGCCAGACATGGCATACAGCGCTGCGGACGCACTTGCGTCGGCCATGTACGACAGCATGTTCGACTGGCTCGTTGGGCGGGTGAACTTTGCGGTGCAGGTGGGTGCGGCGGGATTAGTGCTGGTTGGGTTGGCGGCGGGCGTTGGGGCTTTGCCGTCGGGAGCCAACCCGTGTGGGTGTATGGTCTCTTGGTCCGTTTCTTGTCAGGGTTTTGGGCAAGACGAGTCTTGACGTGTCGCTCGCTTTTTGCTCTTTTCTTGTTTCCATACCTCCTCTGCACCGGAATGTATCGCCGGTGAAACGAAAGCGTTTGTACGCCTTTTGTTTTTTGTTAGTTTCGGTGCATTCATATATGCCTGGACGTGTGGTTCGCTGTTTAACTTACTTTTCGGCGACGAGTACAGCTAGGAGCGCTTGCACGGCATCGTCCACCAAACTTTGTTTTTCAACTGTTATTTGGTCAATTTACTGTTGAAATTTTTGTCGTCGTGTCTTTTTCTCTCTGCTGTTTGTTTTTTCCAATTTCACTGTTCGCTTCTTTTTGCCATTTTTCTACTTTTAATTCTTCAGGGGGAGCACTCAAACAAGTTCATCGGCGTGCTCGACATCTTCGGTTTCGAGATCTTCGTCAAGAACCACTTCGAGCAGCTGTGCATCAACTACACCAACGAGAAGCTGCAGCAGCACTTCAACAAGTGAGGATTAGGAGAAGGATGGAGAGCAAGAACTCGGTCTCTCTTTGTGTTGTTAGGCCACGCTGCCAACACCCCCGCCTCTCCTTTCTTGCTTGTCCTATTTCTTGACGATTCTGTTTATTGCCGCTCTAGTTTGGGTAGTTAAGCTGTGACCACGGGAATCGACCTCGTCAAGTGTTGGACTAGTACAGGAAGAAGGTACTGGACAGAGAACGGGACGGTTGCTAATTTGAAGACGACAACAACAACAACATTCGGCGTCTAGACTGTGTCTTTCGCGGAATCGGCTGAAAAAAGCAATGAAAACACTTCATAATCGTGGCCTATTGTGACGATGGCCACCACAAAGATAACACCACCACAACACAACACTCAAACGGTAGTGCTGGCAAACAAGCGTAGTCTGTCTGAGCCAAAAGTGTGTTCGTCGTAGGCAAGCGGTGTCTTCACAAGAGCCCGTGTTCTGTTGTCAAGGCCACCTTTCGACACCAGCACATGGGTCACCTGACAAAATGGGCATGCGGCATCTCAAAGTTATAGTTGGTGGTTTGTACACGTCACGTACCGGACCTACTGGTACGAGGTTTTGTGTCATGATTGTTTTTCTGCGTCCAGCTTTTGGCTCGTCTCATTTTTGTGTTACATATTACCAACTTTTTTTCCCTTTTTGCTTCCTCTTCTTTTGTCGTCGTGATGAAATCATCGTAACAACAAAAAGGCACACGTTCCAAGAAGAAGAGACGGTCTACTCGAACGAACAGATCCGGTTCGAGCACATCCACTTCATCGACAACCAGCCGGTAGTCGACCTCATCGAGAAAAGGGTACGGTACTGTGTAGGGGGGGGGAGTACTGGGGGGGGGGCAGATGTGCCCATTGGGTCGGGCGGGGTGCCGTGTGCCCGCTTTTGCAGTGCCTGTAAAATCGTGTTGGAAGTCGTTTCACCTAGAAAATAGGGCGCCTTTCTGCGTGTCCCCCTTGGGCTCGTCGCTCGTAATAGAGTTCTGCGCTTGTTTACGCCACTGCTGTACCGATGTCGGTGACAAGCTTACCAGCAAACAAACAGCACAACACCAAGAGTGCAATGGAGATATATCCACGACATGAAATACCCAGGAAAAAAAAAAACATCAAATTTACCAACATCCGCGAAAAACTTATCTACTATAGCGTACAACGAGCGCAACAACAACAACAACGACAACAAGCCACGTCGCTAACAACAACATCGCCGCCTCCCCCCCCCCCGTTT